ACCGCAAGGCATCTGAGCAAATGCAAGATGAGCTCATGCGAAATTGTATCAAATGCCTTACGGTAATCGATCCAGGCCATAGAGAGGTTACGCTTATATTGTATCGAGTCCTGCGTTACACATCTATCGATGAGCAGGTTCTCTTTACATCCAGCGACTCCTCTCTTCGACCCTCTCTGCTCATATATCTGTTCGATCACTCTGTCAACTGCGGTAAGTATTATTATTATTATTTTCTACAACCTAATAAAAGTTGCTTCACACAAAATGTTCTCTCCCACAAACTGATAGTTCGACTGCTGTGAACTTTGTACACGTTTTTATTGAAGGTTAGGGTTAACTAAAAGTCATGTGGATTCAATACCAGTAGCGCCATCTGTGTGTTAGCCTACGAACTTTTCAGTCCACCTAATGACATGTAAACATGTTCAATGTAAGGTTCAACAGGTGTGTTGATCTGAATGATCCACCAGTATGGGTCTCAGTCGTTTGTAAGCAAATGAGGAGACACTTCTAAATGCTCGGCGGATCATGATGAACGACTCGTCGAAGTCAAATTAGTTTTATAATGGCACCGCCTCTCGATCCTCTTGACTCTTCTGTTTCCTCTTCATACTCAACCTGAACTTTTCCATCCCAAGTAGAAAGCAAANGCTCGGCGGATCATGATGAACGACTCGTCGAAGTCAAATTAGTTTTATAATGGCACCGCCTCTCGATCCTCTTGACTCTTCTGTTTCCTCTTCATACTCAACCTGAACTTTTCCATCCCACCCCTGAGGGAGTGACGGCCTATGACGGTTCGTCAAAGTTCCTCGGGAGGTTTGCTTGGCTGACTCAGGTTGTATCCCTGTTTGGCAAGAGGGCTTTGAACGACGTTGGGTGCATTGAGGGCGGAGAAATATCCGCCAATTTTTGGTTTCACGTGTCTGTTATTGCTTTCCATGTGGACGATCTTCATGAATTCGATTTGGGCAGCCAGTTTCTGGATTTCTTCCTGAAAATGGATTTGAAATGAACGTTTCAACAAGAAATTTGTGGGAGAATAATGAAAATTCATCTTATATTCCGAAAAGACCTCATATATGACGTGGGTGTTATTCATGATGCAAGGTTATATTTTGTTAATTCATCGTGTTCATATAGCGAAAACGTCCAGAAATTTCACAACGAGAATTTTAGAACACAATAGAAGTTGTAAACTGAAGCAGACCAATTTCACATATGCTTGCCATCTTTTATAACCTTTTAGAGAACAACTGCTACTTCAACATGAACTACCACATATTACATACAGAAAAAGGACAAACAAGTTGCTGGAATCTCTGGAAATCAAAAATCGAAAACAATCACATTCTCCAATGAAGGACCAAAAAGAAGTTAATCACTGACCCTTATTAATTTTTGTTCTGAAATTGTTGTTAACCACTTTTGTTCTTAAAATTCACCTGCTCATCTAGAAATAATCGTTATTGATCGACTAGTGTAGTGTTACTACGTTTTCCAAATCTACCTGTTAACCTAGAACAAATAATTACCAATTAAGTTCGATGGTTTGTTCAAAATGAATTTCATAATATAAAAATTACTTGACTATTATCATCTCTAGAGCCAATAATTTTCATCAAGTAGAAGTACAGTGTATCTATGAATTTATAACTGAAGATATTGAGAGGATAAATTAATAATTCCCTATTAAATATCCTGTTTCTTTTATTACTCCTTAAACATTTCTTACCTTCAACTCCTCGTTCTCTTGAAAAAGATCCTGTGGTTCCTCAGGTACCAAGCCGATTCCATTCAACGAAAATGACGCAGTAACACCCCTAGATCTGGCCCTGTTGTCCCATTGATCACCCTGACCTCTCAAAACTCGTATAACCTTGAACATGAAGGAAAGAAACAAAATAATAATTACTCTATCAAGTAGAATTCTGAACCGCCTCAGGTTCAGAGTTCATCGAAAACAATTTTTCGACGAGCGTTTCGCTAACCAAGTTAGCATCATTAGAAGATGAATAAGCCTCAGTCACCTTCTGATTAGAGAAACGCACGTTGAGAGCCAACATTTTTGTTCTGGGAAACGTGTTTTCAGGAAACAAGAATGTGGTAGGTAGGATAATTGAACGCACTTTAGTGTCAAGTGTCATTTGAAAAATTGTAGACAGTTGACACTTGACATAGGGAGTCGTGCGGGGATAAAAAATAAAATGGTGTACAGGATCACATGTCCGAGTCTTTTGTAAATCCTAACGTTGATAATAAAAGCTGCTTCCTATTAATTATTCATTGTTTCATTGAATTATCATGGGGGTCCGCCGCCTTATCTATGGACATTTGAATTAATAAATAAGTGCTATTGGATAGAAGACCCTTTCAACACAGATATTGAAATGTTTTGAAAATGTCCCTGATTTCAAAAAACTTATATTCACTGGGTGATTTCTAAACAATTTGGTAAAGACCTTTTTTTCTTGGATAAAATTCGAGGAACCATAGTCACCCATCTGAAGATTATTTATCAAGCGAACCGTGTAAGTTGCATGAAAATCCGATTACTGATTGCGAAACTATGAGTAGAATCGTTTCAAGTGGGAATGGATTCCTCTTGACAATCGAACACATCCAATATCGTAGATCTCACAATCGACAGGATAGCTTGGGAAGAGAAAAATAAAAAAAAATATTTAACACATTTATTGAACGTTTTTTATATGAATATATATCTCTTTGCAAAGAGTAGGTAGGTACATAGTATTTTCATTTATAATCAGATACAAATATAAAACATTTATATGATTATGAATAACAAACATGGAACTGGGTGAATCAATTTGGTGGATGAATACATTAATCTATATTTAATTTTAATGTAATATGTATGATGACCTTTTGAATTTTCACAATATCTGACACTATGAATACAAGTTATTTTAGGTTGAAAAAATCCTTCTGATTTTATAGATCTTTGTACGTGGTAATCCATAAACATTTTCCATAAAAAAGCGTGGATGACAAACTCAAATATGATTACTTTGAACTTGAGAAAGTATTCAAAAAACTTTAAACAACAATCTAACCTCCCTTCGTTATATGCTAATATTTACATCTGTCTTACCTATATCTCATCTAGAAATATGCATGATGTTGTTGAGGTTATGTCATTTATCCATCCACCAAAAAGATAAGCTGGTGAAAATATAAGTAAGGATCCATACATACACTGTGTCTCAAATAGTCAAGTTTAGCAGAAAACTTTTCAATATCCAAGATCATGAAGAGGCATTTGTTGAAAAGTAGTAAATTTGTTGATTTCTGTTCTTAATTAAATTGTCATATTGAAGTAACTTCACAACTTGCATCATATAATTGAGAATGTTGACTAACAACTTCAGAAAATTATATTCTGTTAAAATTTATATTAAGACTCTGTTGTTTTTTGACATCCACTTGCAAGCTATTGGGACACAATGTAAAATAATTGGTATTGTCGCGTTCACCGACTAAATTTGTACCTAATGAAACTATCACAAACATGTCTTTTTCTACATCTAGATCCTAATTGAATTTATACTTTGTTGAACATTAAGAACTTTTATTTCTGATTAAAAAAAAAAGAGGTCTGGGACTCGGATCTTTAGAGAATTTCTTTTCGAAAATCACTTCTGCTTGATTCTCTCCTAATAATGCCAAAATATGTTGAAACATATCCATAGGGTATTGAAATTATTACATTTGTTTTATTCTCAATAATTGGAACAACTTCGAAGCGAAGCAAACCAAATTCTGGATAACATTGATAACTGAAGAAACGATATAATGGAAAAAAATGTAACCTATATAGCTATAGTGTTCACTAAAATTCAACACTTATTTGACATTGATTAAATTTTGGTGTTATCTACCACAAGCATACATTCATTTCAAGGTGCGTATTCACCAAAAAAGCGAGCACGAGCGAACAAGAGTGAACGAACATTCTGCATCAATATTCGTCTGGTGAGTACGGGCTAGCGGATAGTATGCTATTTGGTATTGGTCCGTTATCGTTATTCATAATATTATTGTGTTTACTTATTTCTACACTCTCATAGGCATCTAGTTGCCTGTTGTTGTTAACTTGTCTAACTAATCTTAAAGAACTGAAGTCTATGGAATGGTTTTGTTGCAAAATATGATGGGCGACTGCCGATTTTTCAGGTCTTCCATATTTCAAGTGTGCTATGTGTTCCTTATCCTTATATCTTACTTTGATAGATCTTTTTGTTTGTGGTTCAATAATTATTTTCCTTTGTGTATTTCCAGTGGAACTTCGATTGTTTTGTCATTTTATATCATTACTTGTGAGGCATATACTATACGTAAAGTTCAATTTCATCAAATTAATAAAAAAGTCTGCATACATATGGTCTATAACAATTTATTTTATGATTTTTGTTATATGTTCGTTCCTTCAATCTTACATAATGATACTAGAAAAACATACATTTTTTCGTCAATTGGAAATCCAAAAAAATCAATGCCGACATCACCCTGCAAATTACAGCAATCCACAGCTCGACTCTTGTTCATTTCGAAACTAGACACGTATTTTTCACAAATACAAAACTACCACTTACAACGACTCACTCTGTTATAATATTCCATGCCTCAACTTGGCTCGCTTGGTAAACGCCTCAACGCGTCGGTTGCGCTGTAATTCGGCCGCGCATGAAATTCGAGGTGGGGAATTTCGACCCAAATATGGCGGAGAGTGAACTTACTTGTGTTTGCGATGTTAAGGAGCGGTACAGTTTGTGTTAAAAGCAAAAAAAAAACATTTTTAAATTAGCCAACGCCCCCCAATCTTCTCTGTGCCCTTAACTGCCCCCTTTACTATGTTTTTTACTATGTTTACTATACGATGGTTTGGGTTACTTTGTTTGTTGGATGGACAGAGTTTACATTATCGACATTTTTGAAGGTTTTCTTCCTGGGAGGACTAGACCAGCATGGTAACGATGGAAAGTTTGCCTATATTTGGCAGGATGATGTTATTCGAGTAATGTTTCACGTTGCCACGATGATGCCCAATAAAGAGTCTGATCCTTTTTGCAATAATAAGAAAATGCACATTGGAAACAACTACGTTACTATTGTTTATAATGACAGTAAAGAAGACTTCAACATATCTACAATAAAGGTAACGATGATTTGTTTGCTCTACTAATTTTTAGTTTTTCAATGAATTTCAGTGAATTATAATAAAATGCTCTTATGATCCAAGAACATATTGTACCATTTTCTGATTTTGTATATGCATTTTTTCAGGGTCAATTTACATTTGTGTGTATTGTTATCCATCCTCTGGACCATGGTATCAACAAAGTTGTTGTCAAAGTCAAAGAAGAATTATCCAACTTGGTTCCGGTCAGTGAACCTAAACTTGTATCCGATCAAAATGTTGCTATATTGGCCAGGCAGCTGGCATTACATGCCAACGTAAGAATTACTTATTTGATTTGATTTAATTTAGATTTTTGTCCGTTTTTATAAGTTAACTATAATATCTCAGTGAATATACCGAGTGTCCCACATTTTATGTGACAGGCAATATCTGGTTTGTTGAAGGAGATACACAAAAATGTTTCATACAAAAGTTTTAGGAGTTCATGAGAGCTATATTTTGATATAATTTTTAAATATACAGGGTGTTTGGTGTAGGTGCTACAAACCAAAATTCCATTTTTTAAAATAGAACGCCCTGTATATCATTACATATTCAGATGCTACGTTAAATTCTGATATCATTTCATGTTTGNCACCCTGTATATTTAAAAATTATATCAAAATATAGCTCTCATGAACTCCTAAAACTTTTGTATGAAACATTTTTGTGTATCTCCTTCAACAAACCAGATATTGACTGTCACATAAAATGTGGGACACCCGGTATATTCAGTTTAATCGAAATAGGCGTCATTTGAATCAGTACACTTTTGCTAACGTAACACAAATCGATTACTTCCGTCAACATGAAAATTGCGTGCTCGACATTCGATGAACTCGACGAAGGCCTTTTTTTCCTGATTCTGATCGGCGAAGTTTCTAACGGGTGATTTTTAAGAGGTATAGGATTTGATTTTCAAAACAACACAAAACATTTGAAAAAATTGATGGAATCGATAAAACTATCAATATAATTTAATTTTTTTATTAGTAAGTGGGCTATGCTTGAAGACGGGCAGTAAACAAATCTAAAGGAATGAACTTTAAATGTTCAAATCCGTCTCGGATATACCTACACGGTAGGCTGAATGGACTGACGCTTATCAGAAAACAACTACTCCATTGGCTAATACCACGAACGGCGTTGGAATATATCCGACAGGCAACAAAAAGTCGTCAATCATCACACGGTAGCGCTCGCCATTCACAGTAACGTTTCGGCCATTGTCGTCTATGAAGAAGTACGGCCAGATGATGCCAAAGACCTATAATCCACACCAAGCAGTGAGTTTTTCCGGATGCAACGGTAGCTCTTGCAATGCTTGTGGCTGGTCTTCACTCCAGACGCGGCAATTTTGCTTGTTAACGTATCAATTCAACCAAAAATGAGCCTCGTCGCTGAACACAATTTTTCGATAAAAATGGATCTTCCTCCAACTTTGCCAGCGCCCATTCACCAAATGTTAGACGTTGTGGGAGGTCGTGTGGCTTCAATTCTTGCACTAGCTGTATCTTATAAGGTTTTACACCCAAATCCTTTTGCAAAATTTTCCGTGTAGTGGAGTAACAGAGGCCCAATTGCTGCGAACGGCGGCGAATCAACATTTCACGGTCATTATGAACACTGGCGGATATAGCCGCAATATTTTCTTCGGTCCTCACTCTACGTATGCCTGTTGGTGGTTTAATGTCCAATAATGTAATAAATTGGGTTCGAAATTTAGTCACAAGCTTCCAAATAGGTCCCTCAGTAGGTCGACGACCCATAAATTGGAAGAAGTGCACGATGTACTTTCTTCGCCGAGCATGAATTTTGATAATAAAATTCAATAATTTGCAAGCGTTGTTCATTCGTAAGTCGATTCACGGTTAAATTATAGTTCAAACTGAACAAGTTTAACAATGACACAAGACACGATTCACGTGATCTGTCAAAAACAGTGTTGTCAAAAACATACCAGCAAAAAAATCACTCATTATCAGTGAGAAAGTTATCGAAATTCTTGAAAAGATGTGTCAGGACTGGTGATGGGTAAATTAATAATCAGATAGACTCGGGTTTTATCAATAACAAAGTTTATTAAAACGAAACACAACGACGAACAAGATATGTAAAAGAGAATTACAGGGTAGCCTTGAGAAACTAACGCTTAGAGTTTTCTCGATCAGCAAGGAAACTCTAGAGCGGGTTTAGTTCTCGGCGGAAACCCCAGAATAAGAAATAGTTTCCTGCCGAAATCCTAGAACAGAATGAATGCCTCGGCTAAGAAATGTGTCCAAAGTAATTCTCGAAAAATCATCACTGGCAATGGTCGGGGTCATAAATATAGTCAAGAAGGGTCAACCACTTGGGCCCGAATCCCTTTTCACGAACCATAAAAGTGTTAACGATGAGTACCAACTCGAAACATCCCAAGTGGTGTCGTTCTAAATATTCAACTGTTTTTGGGCAGTAAACTTTCGTTTCGAGAGAAGAGAGCATGTCAATGATATGCGATGGGAGAATATGAAAATGATAAGTTTAAAAAAAATCTGTTTTTCCGTTAACCAGCTGTCGCACCTCTACGAACTACAACCCTCAGAAGTCGAAAGCTGAGGATTAACGAGGTATTACCTTTTAACGTGTGATTCTTAACACGGATAAAAATTAAAATAAAAGAATTAACGTAAAAACCCAAGCAGATGGATATTTTGGACGACTGCTGGATGATAAAGTTATAAAAGTCAATTTTCTAACACAAATTTATAATACAAAATAAAAATAAATAAAGAAATAAAATGTTTGTAAACTAAGTAGTTGTAGGAAAAACCCTACAGATAGATGGTAGTCGCGAGGTTTGGGGAGTATGCAGCAGGATCGCGCGTTTCCTCGTGTAACGCCATCTAGGGGATTAGACAGTAACTATTTCCTGTCCGATAGTTGTCAAACTGTACAATAGATGGCGGAAAGCTTCAATGCGAAGCCAGAAGTTTCTAGTCTCCATTCTCGAAAGTACTAGGCCCGCCCGCTGCCTCATATAAAAGCGCGCGCATTCCCATCATCGTATTTGTGTGAAGAAATCGGTTGCAGATTACCGAACGCGGTGACTTACGGCTGTTTTTGAGTAAATTCTAGCCTGATATTAACAAACTTGTTAAAAATCATCAAATTCATCCTTCACATTAGAATAGTTTTACGTTGCAAACTAAATTCAATAAATATACAAAAAACAAAAAATATTGTGAGAAATTCTCTAAACAGTTTTACAAAATGGCAACACTTGTTTCGCCATAGATTGGCTTTTTCAAGCATGTCTTCATACAAAATTGACAAATACACCCAGCCGCTGGGCTGTACTAATAAAAGCAAGGGCAACAAACAAATGGAAGATTTTACAGATTATACATAAACATTCATGAACATTTGAGTCCCCTCCGCTGTTTAACCTTTTGAGAATAATATATAGCTGTGAAAGAAATTTGGTTATCTTCTACGAGATTTTATATGCTATTTTATTTATTTTCTATTATGTGAAGTTGATGAGAAAGAAAAGTCATATATGCAATCGTGTGAATTATCATTGTTTTAAATTTTTAGAAATAAATCCATCAACAATACTTTTCCCAGAAATACAATACTCTTTTCAGCCCACGTTTAAGTTGGCATCTTCAGTTTTCTTCATCTCCTGAAGACGCCAACTTGGTTAGTGAAACGCGCGTCGAGAAAGGTATTGCATTTCTGGTGATTGTGAAAAGCGCTTGTTTTTGGATTCTTTCCTCGCAAGAGAAATACCTTTTATTTTAGGAATGAAATGAAAACCATGCCGCTTCAACTTTGTCAATAATTGATTCCTTCTATGCGACCTAGTTATTGATGTATCGATTAGATGAAATTTGTTTTCAATAAAAAGTTGTTTTGCCACAAATATCGTTTCTCTCAATCAATACACGAAATACAAGAATCGAAAATTCATTGTTGTTCAGTTATAACACTGGAGTGCCTAGTAGTCAAAAAGAAATAATTTTTTCAGTACTTCCAAAATAATTTTAGTGAGATGTATGTCTGTAATTGTACTTGAGGATTGTTAACACTTATTTTTAGTTGATCAATTTTCCTTATTATTGAGTATGTATAAATTTCACATCAACTTCAATGTATTCTCTATACACAATGATCATTTTCGAATTCAAAGTTGAAATGGGGTACTTTTTAGGACCGCACTGTATATGCACTAATATGATAAGACTTCGCTCCTGAGTGAGTACATATAATTATTAAAGAGAACTTCGAAACCACTATGTGATTTCTGTTTCTGAGTTTGTGAATAGTATGATGGAAAAAGTTATGAGTACCTACTCTTTTTAACAGTGACGGCATATTATGGACTTGCTATTGAAGAGACACCATTGATTCCAACAACTGAAATTCACGTCCTGTCATTTACGTCTCTCTCACTTAACGTCATGAGTAGTCTATATTTTCATGTCTATGAAATTTAAAAAGTCACAGAACACTCAGAAGGTGTCCACTTTGCGAGTGTTCTATGATAATTTTCGATTGACCATGCTGTTTGACATATATCATGACTTAACCTAATTATTGAATTTAAAAGTCTTAAAAATGAGCAAATACGCCAAATATTCGGATTTAATAAAACAAACTACGGAATATGCTCGAAGAATGAATAGACTCAGTAACAGAATATTTGGAGAAGTAGTTCGACCAACAAACTCAAAGTCTATGAAAGTTGTTAGATTATTTAGTGAAGAACCAGTTCATTTACGTAAAGAAGTTCATAGCTACTATCCTCGGCATGTCGAAACTGGAAAACTGATGACGAATTTAAGATATTACGGTTTATTCCGAGATGAACACGCAGATTTCAATGATGAAATGGACAGAATGCGGGCTCTCAGGGGCAAGACGAAGCACATACGTAAAACTAAGGCAGAACGTGAAAAAGAAAAAAGTAGTTCATGATGTCAATAATTAAGTAGTCTATAGTGTCATTACACTTTCATAATCCTTGTTGTTTTGATTCCTCTTATATTTCATCATGAATTATTAACGCTTGCAAGACTTGCCTATGCAGAAACTTATGCATATGTATGTTGGATATAATTCAATGTCGGTAAATGCATTGGCTGGATAAGTAGTTATTTTGGGCAAGCATTGGCTGGATAAGTAGTTATTTTGGGCAAGCATTAGCCAGATACCACTTTGTAGGCATGTGAAAAGTGAGCGTAAGTCAAACAGTTATTGAATAATATACAGTTTTTTACACTTTATTATTCCAATGGTATATTTAACTATAATCACACAAGTTTGTCTTAAAAAGACTTACACTAATACAAAACACACTTTGATCTTGATATGGAAATAAAATTACAATTCCTGTTTGGAAGCAGGCCTTTTGCTTCCAGTATCTCCCTTAGGATTTTCATATAGGCATTTGGAATCTAGATTTTTCAAAGCACGATCTTCACAGAGATATTTCTTCAGAGATTCCTTCCCTTGGTGATGGAAATACCAGTCTTCTATGTCTCCTTCATTTTGTTCAAGAAGGGTTTCACACTGAAAAATAGAAAACTTTAAAAATATGATAGAATTGAGGGATGGATGAAAGTCCATTAAAACGAATTGAAAAAACACTTCAATGTGAGATTTCCACTTGAAATTTTACAAAACTGTGACATGTGTTTTGCTATACGATAGCATCCTGGGGCGTAACAATAATGTTTCTACAAATTATGTGAATATTACTTGATAAATTCATTACCTAAACTATTTACTTATCTAAGAACAACTCACAAGACCGGAGAATAACGAATAACAATTTTTAGCTGGGCTATCATTTTACCTACTTTTCAAATATGCCATTATTACCAATTTCCTCGTTGCAAACTAAATTCAATAAATATACAAAAAACAAAAAATATTGTGAGAAATTCTCTAAACAGTTTTACAAAATGGCAACACTTGTTTCGCCACAGATTGGCTTTTTCGAGCATGTCTTCATACAAAATTGACAAATACACCCAGCCACTGGGCTGTACTAATAAAATAGACTAAGATATCACCTACATATCAGGCCGATATGTAGGAGTAGGATAACATCATATATCGCTAGATGTAGAACTGGTCAGTGTTAATGACCATAGCAGTCTATGCTGTTGACATTAAACAAAAGATAAAGTGATGATCACCTGTGTCTTCATATTTGTGATTTCTGCACTTGGTTTATCCCACAACTCATAAGGGATTCCCAATTCCACTTTGACTCCTTTATCAACCAAGCCATGTAGAGTTTGAAATGTTTGGCTCATGCCTTTGGCGAACCGTGTGCTGTCTTGTCTCTCTTTGTGAATGTTGTAGTTCAATATCCTTTCACAAACACCATCTAGTGACTCAACTAATCTCAGCTCCGACTTTTTATATTCCTTCTTTTTTTTTGGTTTTACATCATCAACGGCATATCCTGTTTCGATTACTTCACTTGTTTTTCCTGTTTCTTCCAGCCTTTCTTGGAGTTCAGTTGCAAGGATTTTGCATACTGGAAACAGTTTATGGTACATAAAAAATGAGAAGAAAGAAGGAAATCTATATATAACCTCACTATTTTTTGAAAACTACTTTGCAAAGATTTCAGCTGCAAAAAACTGAAACAATGAAAGGTGATGCAACATAGAACATTTTAAAGTAACTAATTTTACCTTCACATCTATCAGCATATTTCACACCATCATCATCTTCTGAATTCGAATGAATTTCTGCAAATGTGAAGAAAACCACAAACAAAATTCGATATATATTATTCATGTTTAATTTGGTGTAGGGATGAGATTCCAACTGGTTTTTTTATTCTGACTGAAACCTACAATATCATTGGAAGACGGAATTTTGATAAGATACCCAAATCATCAATGACCTTTAACATTACTACATTCAAAACCTGAGTTACCTAATGCAGATTTCAAGACTCAAGACACAATGTTAGTTTCTGGCAGAATATTTCAATTTTGGAAAGGTCTTTTCTGTAAACTTATAGGAAATGGGAGGTTGAAGTCCGTGGGTAGATTGATATAGCCCAATATCGAATGACTGGAATACCACTCGCCCTGTATCGCAGTATAGAAGTAAACACCAGCACACCTGTATATTAATTTCATTGGTTTGTTCGGAGTTGTTTTCCAATATCACTCCATTGTTCGTTTATACGAACTATGCTGGCACTTTCGTTCGACGATCATAGACATGTTTATCTCAGAACTAATTCTAATAATTGGGATTTTGTTCTATGACCCATTGTTAAGAAGCAACGTTATTCTACGATCTCGTAAACGTGGAACTTGGCTCCCGTCTTTTGTATAAGGAAAATAATAACCTCAGTTCTCACTTTCTATAATATAATTTAAAAACTCCGACTTTGAACTCAGAATTCAGACATTAATTCATTTAGCCTCCCAAATATAAATTACCTAGTAAACAATTTGCTAATTGGCCGTACAATTTTGGTAATTGAATATTTTGACTCCTAGAATTTGCTTGTAAAACATTATAATACAGATAACCGCATGTGTTTCTCTCCATCCTTTTTTAGTCACCGATTAGATGGTTTCATCGTAAAGCCTCGTCTTATATATGATGTCTATGATCGAATGTCAAAATACTTTTTTCAAACAAACTGGGAAATTATAACGTGCAAAAATTTTGCAAAATGAGTGGAAGTCGCCCAAATCATGATGATATGCTATTTGAAATGTTGAAGGAATGTAAAACACTTCCACAGTTTCTAGATGAAATTTTTGGATTTTTACAAAGAAGGTATGAGTTTACTTGGATAACATTTAAAGATCTTATATTAACAATTTCTTAGAACAGATTTTTATTCTATTTCTGACGAACCTAATGCTGCTGTGGGTTTACCTGAAGGATTAGCTGAAAATTTAGTAAAACATACTTTTCATAAATGGAAACCTCACACATCAGAAATGATTTACACAGGCCAAGAAATTCCTGTATCCTCCGAAGAAACTGTTAAGATTGGCGATGAAATTGTCAATGAAGTTATATCTACAACCAAAGAACCAAATGCTAATGGCGATTGCAGTTTCAGTAATTCTGAATGCTACAATGGAAGTAGGTTTGATAATTACTGTTGGTCCCAAAATATTACGGACATAGATATTGTTATTAAGATCCCGGAAGGTGTGAGAAAAAAGGATTTGGAGGTCAAAATTCAGTCGAGTAAAATCTCAGTGAAACTACACGACGGTACTTTTTTACTGAACGGAGACTTGTGTCAGAAATGTAAGGCAAATGAAGCTATATGGTCTTTAGACACGAAGAAGTTACTTATCCATTTATCCAAGTGTCGGGAGATGTGGTGGAACTGTCTTATAAAGAGTGAGCCGGAGATAGATGTTTCAAAAATAGATTGCTCAAGACCATATGAAGACTTACCGGCAGAAGCTCAGGCTAAAATTGAAGAACTTCAGTGGAATCAAGAGAGGAAACGGTTAGGCCTTCCAACATCCGAGGAACTCATTTTACATGACAAGCTGAAAAAGGCGTGGAATGTGGAGGGGTCACCGTTCAAAGGACCCTTTGATCCTAGCTCTGTTCAAATTGGTTAGCGAAAAAATAAATTTCTCCAACTTTTATCCAAGATTTTCTATTGAACTCATTTGCAATTTTTTATAACAGAAAATCATTCAACAGTGGAAGTGACAGATAGTTTTGATGATACAAATATATTTATTTTGGGGTTGAAACCATTGAAATGGACTATATAATAAACTCATGAAAACTGAAGAGTTTTTTTTACCAATCTTATTGTTATTGTAGTACTATTACTTAGTAGGGAGATAAAGGGGAACCCATAGCCATGCCAAATTCTTGTTGATAGAAATCATCTCTATATTGAAAATAGGTTTTGTCTATACATAATTTCAAAAGTTCTAATATAGAATTAACATCCAACTTCTTTCGATGTTTTAAAGTTGAGTCATTTTCCAACCTGGATTTGACAATTTGAAGTTTGAAGTTTGCCCTTCTACACTTGTATAAAGTTCTCCATTATAATTTTTATATTTTTTCAGATTGTTGAAGGTAACAATTACCCAAAAAAGGTCGATAAAAAAGCAGACGATATACAGTGTGTAACAACGAAAACTTAACAGAGCCGTTTTTTAATATAAAAAGTAAGATTTTTAAAAAAAGCTCGGACACGTCGATTTCTAATTAAAGGGGGATATAAAAAACTTAAATAAAGCCTCGTTTATAAATTATATAAAGAATATCTGCCTGGAAAACGCATTTTATAGTATAGACGAATTCTTATCATTTGACTTCAACACCAACTAATATTTTGAATTTACAATCTACGTAGACAGTGATATTTATATTGCAATTGTTAGCCTATTAATACTAACTTCAACGCAATATGAGAAAAACCGTCGGCCGCCTCTTTTGATGTCGTTTGTCGCAAATCACTATTTTGATGGCTCGTTAACGGCGACCTCAAGGGACATAGCGGGTCGAAATATCTCAGTGACTTTGTGGATGAATTGCAGTACCACTTGCTTGCATTCTTGAAATTCTCTCACTCTTAGATAATACCGAATGGAATATAGATCAGTGTTTCTCAACATGTGCTCCGCGGACCCGTGGAGGTCCACGAATATGTGTATGGGGGTCCGCCGCCTTATCTATGGACATTTGAATTAATAAATAAGTGCTATTGGATAGAAGACCCTTTCAACACAGATATTGAAATGTTTTGAA